ATACTTCTTCATATTTTGAATAATAAATGTTACTACTCCTCCTCCTCTGCCAAGTTCTCGGTCTCTTCTAACTACATTATATCCCTTTATAATAAAATCTAATTGTGGTTTTAACCATGTCTCCTGTATACATATTACATTAGATTTTTCTACTAAATCATCAATATACTTCTTAAACTCTTGGCCGTTCGCAATTAGACTCCTTGCATTCCACTGTAGAATGATCAGCACCATTAAGATGATCCAGCCCACGTCTGAGAGGATTGTGTTTCTTCATTGAGGGTATCTCTAACTGTTTCCCAGGGCAACCCATTTACATCTAGATACTTCTCTGCTGATTTGACAATTATTTTGATCCTTTCATTTCCCGTTCGCAATTAGACTCCTTGCATTCCACTGTAGAATGATCAGCACCATTAAGATGATCCAGCCCATGTCTGAGAGGATTGTGTTTCTTCATTGAGGGTATCTCTAACTGTTTCCCAGGGCAACCCTTTTACATCTAGATACTTCTCTGCTGATTTGACAATTATTTTGATCCTTTCATTTCGGCTTTTCGTCTGTGCTGAACAATTTATTATTTCTGCCATAAACAGTACAAAATCATCAGAGTGTCTTCTTTCAACTTATCACATCCTTAACATTTTCCTATTTCTTTGTGCATAATTTCATTTTGTTTTGTCATTCTCACATTTCCTGAAACCTTCTTTGCTGCCTCTGCATAGCTGATTCCCTGAACCACCTTGATTCTTTGTACTTCAGCCTGCCTCTTACTAACTTCACAGCCACGATACGCTGAGCTATGTTCCCCTCCACAATTACAACATTTCAGCTTTACACCCTCATCACATTTGCCATACTCGTGTTCTCCACTACATTTACCACATCTTTGCTTTCCCTTGCACACCGCCGCCACATGTCCAAACCTCTGACATTTGAAACATCTAAGTGGAGGAGGTATGTATAGCCTCACATTGTAACACATGTATCCAACATATATCTTTCCAGGGAGAGCTTCATCAAAAGTGATAACAACCGAGGTGCTATCACTCACACGGTATCCCATTTTCCATAAATCTCGCCACCTACTTCCATCTCTCCCAATTCATTTCCTGAACCGTCACTTCCCTCTGCATATTCCTGCCCATTCACAGTCCAGTTGTTGCCAACCGCCTTGGGAGCCAATCGTCTCGTCGTCACACGTCGCCCGCGTTCTCCGTCACCGCTTTCAATGGGCGGAAACGAAAAAGGAAGCCGTTTACATGACGAAATGACCAAATCAAACGGACACATTTCTGACCGTAAAGCGATCTACTGAAAGGCTGCTGTGTTTTGCAGTGTCAAAATTATTGAGGACAATTCATGGTATAAATGAGATAATGCCAAGGTAAGTGCTGGCTTATGAAAACATTCAAAAATAAATAAGTAAAGTAAAAAAAAAAAATAGAAGTTACAACGAACGTAATATTTTAGTTATTTTGAAAATACTTTTAAATTATTATAATAATTATTATTATTATTTAATGTAAGCAGTCCTTTACCTCGACGCTATTAAAATGCATTCGATCGGCAGCCAATCCAAACGAGGTAGCGCTGAAATCTCGTTTTCCTTAAAAACCGCGAGAGCTTAGTACGGCCTTTCTCCTCGAGCTGCTGGCGATTAGAGTGTACACATTCAGGTAAAATTAAAAAATGTTTAGCATAATCGACCAGTTATTTTAAGTGTCGAAAACGAATGGTAATATATAAAAGCTTGGAGAATGTCTGTGCTTATTAACGGTTATATGTGTTTGTTGTTACGGACATTTTTAAATCTGTTGTGATCTCCTTTCCAGCGGTACAGGCTTCAATGTTATGATACAGGCCTTTATAATTAGAGCTTCCGGTGATCACAAGCGAAAATGTAATCTTGCTCGATTTCCATAACATTGTTCATTTATATATTCTCATTGTGTATTAGCTGACTCGTTGTCGTTTTCTATAGCTTGTTGTATTATTGCCCTAGTCTTTCTTTTACTAAAATCTTTAAAAAGTAAACATAATAGTATGTTTTTACACACACACACGCGTGCATGCATGTGTGCGTATTTTTTATTAGATATAATTTTTATGTATATTTTTGCCAATATAGAACACTTCATGATGAGTTATGCTGAAAAGCCAGAGGACATAACACGAGAGGAGTGGATGGAAAAGCTAAATAATGTTCATATTCAGCGGGCAGACATGAATCGGCTCATTATGAATTATCTGGTGACAGGTAGGTGATCAACTGACCACTTTTATTTTTTCACCTTCCGCTGCAGCTTTAATACAACTGTCAGAAGATCTGTATCATAATTTGTTTGTTTCTTTTTACATAGAGGGGTTTAAAGAGGCAGCTGAGAAGTTCAGGATGGAATCAGGCATTGAACCAAGTGTTGATCTGGACTCTCTGGATGAAAGGATAAAAATTAGGGAGATGGTGCTGAAGGGACAAATTCAAGAGGCCATTGCACTGATAAACAGTCTGCATCCTGAGCTGCTGGACACTAACCGATATCTGTACTTTCATCTTCAGGTAAAGAAGGTTAATGACAATTGGCTTATGATATATATTACATATCTTCATATGTTTGAGGGCTGTATTTTGACACCGAAGCCACCCTACAAATGTATGAATGTCATTGCATAGATAACAACATATTAGACAAACTGTCATCTGCAAAAAAATTATACCTTTTGGTCCTACAACTGTAGTTCATCACACTATCTGTGGATGTGTTCCACTAATATTTGAAAATAAAAGTGTGCAGATACTTTGTCTTCCATTTGAAACGCAGATCTATTGCTTTATCATTTAGAACCTAACAAACCAACTAAAAAGTTGTATCTAATCTAACAACATTTAAAAATGTGGCCAAAAGTCCAAATACCTCTTGGGCCCACTCGAAGTTGTGCACTGTTGGACTTTTGTTTTGTAAACTGGTTGTTAACCTTAATATTAAATGTTTATATAAATATTTATATTATTATATAAAAAAAGTTGTACTGTTGAGTTGACTCAAACTGTCAACTGTCTGATGCTAAATCACAAGGGAATGCCTTTCAATTTACAACAAGTAAGGTTTATCTGCTTTCCTCCTTTAGCAACAACACCTGATAGAGTTGATTCGCCTGCGGGAAACTGAGGCTGCATTGGAGTTTGCACAGACACAGCTGGCTGAACAGGGAGAGGAAAGCCGAGAGTGTCTGACAGAGATGGAGCGCACCCTCGCACTCCTGGCGTTTGATAACCCAGAAGAGTCGCCCTTCGGTGACCTGCTTAACATGATGCAGAGACAGAAGGTAAAGTTGGTTGTTCTGTCTTATCTTTATAAATAATGCTATTTTAAATATATTATTAAGCAGGGTATAAAATTAACACCTGCCACCAGCCAGTTGGTAATTTTTACATATTGGCATTGTCATTTTGATCCCATTTTGGATTGACATCTAATAAAAAAAGTCAAAGTTCACTTTCAAGGCCAGTACAGTGTGAGGGCAGAGAACTATTTGGTTTACTTAAAGAGGCCATGTTTGTTCAATATACAGAAAGATATTTTACATATTTGAATAGGCTATACAACCATTTAAAAGTTTGGGGTCTGTAAGATTTTTTTTTTGTCCTTTATATCCACCAAGGCTATATTTGGTTGTATTGTATATTGTAAAATAGTTTTATAATTTAAAAAGTTGTGGCCTAATATTTTTTATGAAAACCATGATACATTATTTTTAGGATTCTTTGATGAATAGTTCAAAAGAAACAGTGTTAATTTGAAATAGAAATCTTTTGTAACAATGAAAAGTCTCTTGCTGTAATTTAATTCTTTATCAATTTAATATATTCTGGATTATTTAAGTCTTAAGACTTGTACGTTGCTTTGGATAAAAGTGTCTGCTAAATGACTAAAATAAATAAAAGTATTAATTTCTTTAAAAAAAAAAACTTACAGACCCCAAACTTTTGAACAGTAGAGTACTTTGGCCACTAAGCAAAAAAGTCAATTTTAAGTTAAGTCAATGTGAAATTGATCCCTTATACTTAATGTACATTCCCAGTGTTACTGTGAATGATTCATCAGTGCATATATATATATATATATATATATATAGCTGTACTCAAAATGTAATAAATTGCCTTTCTGAAATGTCTTTTCACTGATGTCACTCCACCTCCCCCCATATTTAATTTGATGTAAATCATGGCATTTGTAGAGGGTAATGAAGGGCGTCATTCATTCAGTCTGCCAGTAATTGACAGCATGTGGTCTTCTATAACAGGTGTGGA